CTCTCTACCCCCCAAGAACATGGTATACAAACTTTGCGCTATCTGGTTTTATCTTGCCTTTGAAGGATTCTAACTTGAGCTTCGGAGCCTTTACACCGGGTTCCCCCCGGAGCTTCCTCATCTTCTCCGTTTCAGGTTCCCTGCGATTCAGTTCAGAGGCAAGGTCATTGACAGCTAAGACCGGCCGGATTGCACACCATCAGTTTCTTTTACGTAATGCTTGTTTTGTATGTAAAATGATGTATTGTATGGGTAGGGAGGTTTATTCTGAGAAACCATGATGTATATGTAAATCTAAGGAGGCATAAGGAGTGTATGTAACTCCAACGTGGACGTCGGATTTTTTAGGTGGGGGTGATTTGTCAAACCCTTGACATACTGGCACAGCGGTGGCACGGGGTAGGCCATGGACCCATGGACCTAATGAGGCATTGAGACATGCAATACATGGCCTACAGATTAGGTCAAGGCATGGGCGGGATGACTCATGCATGGTCAGGTGGTGAACTAGGCCATGCGGCTCATGAGGTGGAATGGGCAACACAACCAAGCAAATTGAGGGATTCGGTAGGGCCTGGTGCATAGGCGGACTAAGCAGGCACCTGGCCAGGACAAGGCCAGCGCCTGGCGTATAGGGTAATTCAGCGAGTGCCAGGCCAGGACAGGGCCAGCACCCAGGCGCAGGCGAACATGCACGGATGCACCATGACACAGACAGTACAGTCATGCTACAACACATGGGTGTGGACACTGGGGCAAGTTGGCGTGCTAGACTTGCACAAATGCATAGTAATGCCTAGGAAGGACCTTAACACAATGCAACTAAGGGCTTGGCACACGCCAATAGGCAAGCCAGATGCCTTAGGCGTGGGCAAGAGGAGCAAGCACACACTATTGACAGGTGCAATAGCATTACTGTAAATATGGCAATATGACAATTCAGAAAAGGCTAAACAGGTGACTTGGGCCGCACACTCTTCGGGCCTAGTGGCTTAAGTGTTTGGTGCAGGACGCTTTGGTGAGGGAAAAGGATAAACAGGTAGTGGCTACTTGGGCCGCACGGTGCAAGCTTTTCAAATAGGCGAAAGATTTGACCCCGTGACAGCTAGCATCATGCCGGGCAGCCTAGGGGCTAGGGGTGCAAATTTAGTCCTAAGTAAAATCTGGGGACTTAAGCTTAATCCAAAAATTATTTTTTATATCTTTATTTAGTTTTAGATTTCTAAAGGTTTCAACATTGATGGTGCATGTAGTTTTTATGGTGAACATAAGGATATCGACCATATTTTCAGGAAATGTGTTGTTGACGGTCAAGTTTGGAGCACCGTTATGCCGATTTCTAGTTATCCAAATTTTGGAAATATGCCTTTTTTTGATTGGTGGAGAAACATTCAAGAAGATAGAAACCTTAGGGATTCGTTATCCTATGAGAGATATAGTCTCATTTGGTTTTTGTGAAAAATAGAAACGAACAAACCTTTCAAAATAAAGACTCTCCTCTCCACATCCCCCATTATTTTTTATAGAGCGCTCAGAGTATTCAAAGAAATTATGGGTCTTAATGATGGTTTAAACAATCAAGTCTCCCAAAAATCTTGGAAACATATTTATTGGAAATTGGAAGCTCAAGAAAGAAAGGAAGATGGGAAGTGTGTTATTGGGTGCATTGCCAGGGATCATAATGGCAGTGCTCTTGAGTCTTGACTTAAAAGCTTATTCCATCGGTAGGACTTCTATCATGTTGCGGAAGCTTGTGCGTGGGAGGCTCACAACATTGCTATGAAGGAGACCATCTTCTAGTTATTCCCTGCTTAAAGAGAAAAACCGATGTTCCCTAGAAGTCGAAGACCATCATTTTTGAGTGTTTAAAGTCAACTGATAGGTTCGATGAGGAAGCAAACAAGGCAGCGGATTGGTTGGTGAATCAAGCTCTTTCTTCTTCTTTAGGCAGTGTTTGGTTTGAAGGAAAAAGTAGGGAAAGGGAAAAGCAGGGAAACCTTTACAAACCTTGTATAGGTTGCCCTGCCTTTCCCTACCTTTTCCTTCAAACCAAACATAGCCTTAGCTCCTCTATATTTTTGCCTCTCTACACTTTCGAAAGAGCTTTTTGTTTATTTGCATTTTTGACTCTTGGGGTAGAGCTACCCTCGTCTTGTGTAGCTCATCTTATTTTCTACCAAAAAAAAAAAAAAATGAGCAAGACCTTAAGATCTACCCCAACCATCTAGTCCTTCCTTCCATATCAATTCAGGGACAAATGGGAAATGATAAATCTTGCCTCTGGCATGCAAAAGATTTGTTTGAAAGGGAGGTGAAGGATGAACACTTTTGCATTCGGTTTGCATCGATAGAGAACTGCAAAAAAATTCAATAGAACACTGCTGGGGAAAGCCAAGAGGCAACTTCTGCTGCAGATCTTATAGAGAGGTTGAGTGTAGAGAAAAGCAAAGATCAGCAGAAAACCCAGCAAGAGGTGCCAATTTCAGCAGAGGAAGAAAGGGATTGAAAGAAGTCAGAGGAAAAGGAAGGGAAAAAAGAGGCGGGAAAACCAGATGTCGATAAATAAAGAAAAAAAATGCCTTTCTTTTCCTATGGGTGTTCCCATAGGGATGGTTGTTGTCAAGTGTTGCAGAGTCATGGAAATATTATATATCGTTGAATTTTATGATACAAGGGCTCTGTGGTTGGATCTTTGCTTATACAGTCCACTTATTTTTTATATATTTGGTTTTTGAGTCTCCATTTGTAATACCGGGGTTTTTAGATATTTGTTGGGTTGGCTTTGTTGAAGGGTCTTTTAGGAGCCTTTTTCTTTTTTAATGAAGTATCCTTTCTTGATTGTTATTTATTTGTCATAATTACTCTAATACTAAATTAGCATATTCTAAAAGTTCGGATGCTAAATTATCGCCTTTTAAAATTCAAGAACCCCAAAGTACAGGGTGGCTTCACATGTCGGTCTTGATGATTTTTCGGTTGTTTGTTTTATATGTCATGGCCATTGCCGGAGCTTTGTCTCTGGTTCAAGAATCGGCATAAATCAGTACACTTTTAACATTTGGATTATCAGGATTGACTAGCCAAAATAAAGGTGGATTGGGTTTCTAATTTTCTATTCCGCACCCTAATTATTTATGTGAGGGTGCGGAATGGAAATAGATTAAGTAATAAGCATGGACCGATTCCAGTTATGATTTTGCAGGCATGATGGATGATCCAGGGAGTCAAAAAAAAAAAAACAAAGCATGCGTATTTCTACACATTAGTTTGGCTTTGAAGGAGTACTAATTCCTTGTCAGAAAATGTGAAGAGCAAGCAAATGCAAATCATAGCAATCATTTTACTTCATTAATTAATTAATAGTAACGAGATGAGTCGTTATCAGAAAATGTGTAGAGCAGAGCAATCATTTWACTTCATTAATTAATTAATAGTAACGAGATGAATATCATTCTTGAAACAAGTTACCACATTTCATCAATGCCAACTATACGTCTATACCCCATTTCACCTTTGTTGTCTGGTTGGTATGCTTAACTGCAGACCGGATCATAAATTTCCCGGTGCCAGGGATATAAAGGATTAAAGGGCACCACCATGAGTCCGGATCTGGCTGCATTCTGCTGCACTTGTCGTGGGTATTTATTTACATAACTGTCTCAGAGCGGCAGAAACCAACTCTGCTTGGTTTGTCCCCAACCCATGGTCTCCCAAAAGACTAAATACATGATAGTTACAACCAAGAAAGGAAATATACAGGTAAATATGTATGATCTATAAGCTTTTCAAAACAAGAAACCAGATGCTAGATGAGACAACAAATATATTGTTGCAACTAAATATTCCTGATTTGTACAGGCTTCCTTTTAAAATCAAATAGTTGAAAAGAATGAATTTTAGCAACAATCTGAAAAGAAAGGCAAATCACAATGAAGCCTGGTCGGGAGTGATCAGTCTTCTTAGAATTCAAGTAAAAGTAAGGCCAAGAGAGAGCTAGTTTTACATGCGATTGAAGAGCAGAGACAGAATAAAACCAATAAATACTTTGGCCTAAGAAGAGCAGCATCCACTCTTCTGGTTAACAGGTTGTCCTTGGAACTGCACGGTCGGAGGTCTGGCATTGTTCATAGCTGGTTGGCTTGCCATCCTGCAGCAAAACAAGAAAATAAGTAATAGTTAATTTAATCCAAAAGGGTATCAACATGTATAAAGGTAGTCTCTCCTGAGAGAAAACCAGCTCATCTGATATGATCTTATTCCAAATTTCTAATGCATACAAAACAGACAAGAGCACTACCTATTCTTGATCTCAGCAGCCATGGCCATGAAGGCCTGTTCCACATTAGTAGCATTTTTTGCACTTGTTTCCATGAATGGTATCCCAATTTCATCAGCAAAGGCCTAAACAACAGATATGGAATATGAGTATATAAAATTTATCAGTAAACCAAGAATTACATATCTCCAAGAAGAATGCCAAAGGAGATTTGCTACAATAAAAATGCACAACCATCTGGGAGAGGCATCATGGGGATAACAATGAGCAATACCTTGGCCGTCTCATAGGAAACAACTTTGTTAGCAGTGAGGTCACACTTGTTCCCAACCAAAAGCTTGTTGACATTTTCACTTGCATAGCGGTCAATTTCATTCAACCATTGCTTGACGTTGTTGAAACTTTCCTGGTCGGTTACATCATAAACCACCTGCCAAAGAAGCAACATGAGAAAATTTTACTGAGATAATAAGCAGAGGCAGCAAGGAGACGTACAAAGGAATGGTATTTGACTTACTATAATGCCATGTGCACCACGGTAATAGCTGCTGGTGATTGTCCTGAAACGTTCTTGTCCAGCAGTGTCCCACTGTATGACCCAGAAAAGCTTAAAATATTAGATTGGGGAAAAAATACAAGCTGAAAAGGTAATAACGTGCCCAAGCAAACCAGTTTGACACCAAGTTGGGAATTGGGGCAACCAACATCCAAATGCCATAAAAGGTTTGTTACATCATCATTCCAAAAGAATAAGTGGAAAATGTAGAACCTTTCACATGTATCAGAAGAGAAAAATTGTTCTAGTCAGGAGAAAAAAAACATTTTTCTAAATAAAATTTCATTAAAAGAAAAAGAAGGTACAGGAAAGGGTGACAAAGAAGAATAACCATAGTAAAAGCAAAACAATACCCGTCATATAAATGGACAATGTTGTTCAAGTCTTCTAGGTTAAATTGTTATATGACCATCTCAGCCCCATTCACTTTTCGGTAAGTTATTACCCAGGTAAATGCAATTACCTAGGGAAGTTTTTCCTGGGAAACACTTACCCAGGTAAGTGCATTTACCCATGTTCTTTTATTTCTCAGGTAAATAAGGCAGTTACCATTTTAGCCATAGAAATCCATTATTAAAAAGGGCATTTTTGTCCCATTCAAGTGTTGGCAACTTTCCCCCTATGTGGGAAAGTTATTTACCCACCTAGGGCATGAGTATCACTTCCCTGGGTAAGTGGTACCCAGGAAAATAAACTTTCCCTGGTTYCCACATAAAGCTGAAAAAAGAACATGGGATTCATGGTCAATAGGAACCAAAATCCCATTGACCAACTTTCCCCCCTCTCCAAATCCAAAAAAAAAGAACCCCCCCCTCATGTCTTGCTGATTATGAAAATTTCCTTAATCTAGCATTTATAAATAACCAAGGCATCCTAAAATTAGAATATACTCACAATTTGAAGCTTAATGGTCTTCCCGTCCTGCTCTACAGTTCGTATTTTCTACAGATGAAAGATGAGAGCACAATTAGTAACATGCATCTGCATACAAGCAAGATCTAGTTACAAAATGTAATAACCACTTACAAAGTCAACTCCAATGGTGCTGATATAACTGTCAAGATATGAATCATCCTACATTCAAGAGATTAAAAGGGCAAAGAGATGGTTAGAATACACAAGGCAGAAGACACATTTCACACATAGCTAACAAGCTAGGACTAATTTAAAAAAAAAAACATTGAGGCTTAGTTTGGGAAGAATGCAAATACAAACATGCACAATGCAAATAAAAGATTTAGAACTACTGTATATGAGGTTTTGCACTGTACATATTTGTATTTGCACTCTTCCCAAACTGATTAAATGAGCCTAACAGACTAAAATCCCATCTCAAAATTACATTAAGAACATCTCCTCTAGTTCAAGTCAGGTTAATTTGCCTGCATGAATTACAGGCAGACGTATGTGCCATATGTGCAGACATTGCTATCTGTGGCTCCAGATGCCCTGGTTGCACCGCATCCACAGTAGGAGATGCTGTTACCATCTCATGCTTAAGCAGATCTCAAGAGACAAATATAACTACCATGAGAAGGGGAGGGGGCATGCAATTCTGGTCTTTGAGTAAGTTGACATTTTTCATAGAGTATGGACCATGATGAATGCTAATCGGCAACTTATTAGGAGGAAAAACATATAATCTATAATTTACAATAATATTATTGGGTTAAAGAAAAAGAAAATAACCAGATTGCGTTCTTTGAACTTACAGCAAATCTCAGGAGGAGACATGATTTTCCAACACCAGAGTCTCCAATGAGCAAAAGTTTGAATAGATAATCACTGCAAAAGAGATCATTTGAAAAGATAAGATTCTATTGTTGCAGAAGGCTAAAACATGTTTCCACTTGGTAAAACCAAATTTCTAAACAATAGTACGAAGGTAAGGCCATCTATCATATGGTCAACATTTTTCTTCTAGAAAAGTTTGAGTGAGGATGCAGGTGTAAGGATTGGATACCAGTACAGGTTATTAAATGAATTGGAACAAAATTGGGAAATAGCAAAATAATATGAAATAGAATAGCTCAGTTATGAAGTCATTTTATAATTCACCCAAAATAAAATCCTTTCCATGTGCATAATATGAAAAATGACCACTGAAGAGGTGATACTGCAGGCATTCCATGCAGTGAAGTTTTTAGGGCATTTTTTCCCATTTATGGATGCCTGAGTCTACAAGCATACCATTCATCACTGTAAAGGAAAAATAAGAAATATAGGGAACTGCTGTCATCCAAATTCTCAGAATATGTATTCTGAATCCAAGGTAACAAAGACATATGCATGCATACAAAGTAAATTTGCTTCTTCCCATGCTTCCCGGAACAAAGCCACCATAGTTGTAGAATGCAAACAAACAAGCCTTTAATCCGAAAAGAAATCAAATTCAACTTTTCCAAATCGCCGGTGCACTGCAAGATTGTGGCATCGAGCTCTTATAAAGCTCATGCACCCTAGAATCGACTAACCTCTTCAAGCTGCAGCAACAGAGAAACTAAAGAGTGCGTACATGACTACATGTGATCTATCAAGCTAGTTGGACTGTTCGCAGTGAGAGTCACAGACCTGAGACCTCATGCCTCACCCTAACCTATAATCTTATTAACAAAAATCAAGATAAGAATAATCAAATCATGAATATTAATCCAATTCCCCCCTGACAGTATGCAAGTTACGCTCCAATAAGTAATTCATCTAATCATCGAATAAACTAAGAGAACAAAGCAGACAATTTGGAATCTCGTGCAAAAACAAATATATATGGAGTTTAAATAAACAAACGAAATCATGCACATGAGTATTCAATTCGTACAAATTAACCTCACTAATTAGTCAAAAAACCACGAGTCAAAACCAATCACGGGATCTGAAACCATAGCACCAGGATCTAGCCAGATCGCTACTCGTATGTAAAAATAAGCATAAGGTTAAATGATAAACATGCCAATTACCAGAAAGGAATTAGAACAATAGGCATATAGATCTTGGTAAAAAATTAGAACTTGAAATAAATCTTCCTTCGTTCAGAACAAAACCATCACAGATCTAGCGAAAATTAACAAAACCCAAAGCAAATCGAAAAAGGGGGAAAAACAAACTGCATGAGAGATCCGATTCTGGTCAAAACCAGGATCGATTCTCAGATCAAGAAAGTTGGGCAAAACCCAAAACGAAGGATAACTTGAACTTACTACTCCGGATTCATGATCGTATATCACTAAGACCGACAAAGCTAGAACGACAATAGACGACGGCGATGGAGTTCTCTGGTTTTCCGGCAGGAAATCGAACCGAACCTCGGACTTTCACCGGGAAAAAAAAGGTGAGTTGCGGAGAAGATTCCAAAAAAAAAGGAATTTTGAACGAAGCAGGAAATCGGGGAATGGAGAAAGGAATTAAGGAAAAAAGGAGTTCGAATTCCGACGGACCGAAAAGCTCGGACAACATATAAATAGAGAGAGATTCACACAGTGGGAGTCAATGTAATTACTATTATATCCCTTAGAAGAGTGTTAATTTGTTGTTTGACCTACAATAAGCCATACATAAGGGCATAAGCCCAAAAATAAAACTAACTATCTTGGCTTCAAAAAAAAAAAAAAACTAACTATCTAACGTGACGTGATGCCCCTATGGCGCTATTATTAAATGAAATTGTTAATTTACATAGGAATTGTTTTGCGGTTTTTTGTGTTTTAAGTTTCTTCGAGTGGGTAATCAGAAATATGACGTGGCAAAGTGCCTTAAAAGCAGCCACTTGTCCGCTACCGAAAAAATAAAGGAAAATAACCGCCTGAATTTGGATCTGCTCCAAACACCGACCTAACACTCACATCCCACCGTGTTCGGCGAACATCTCCCATGAATAATAATAAACAATTACTCCAAATGTGAAGCTTGAATATACTGTGAGGTTGGTGTAAGGAGCAGGTCCGAACTCAGCTGTCCCATACTGAACGGTATAATAAGAGGAATTGGGATATACTTTTCACACAGACCTTACGGCCACATCTCACATCACATATTGGGAGCATTTTCTATAAATAATAACATAYAAGTATGAGAAATGTTCTGGATGTATGGCTGAAACATAATATAGGGTCAGTATAGAGAATGCTCTATGAGAATAGATAGACTCTATTAAGATTTAAGAGTTTAAATCTGCTTATTACAATACATTGCTGCTCACATTCACATAGTTGCACATCAGGAATATCATTGATATGAAGTATGGTTTTTAAAAAAGAATCGGTGATCAAACCAGTCAGGGGTCCGATTATTGGTTTGAACGGTCCGATCGTTTGACCTGAACAGTTGGCCCATTCTGACAAAAAAAATTAAAAATTTGGAAAACGATCAAAATCGTTCAAACAGTTAACCAGTCGGTCCAGCGGTTTACTAACCAAAATCAACGGTTTTGGGAAAAAAATAGTTTTGGAGGAAAACAAAACTGGTCAGGTGACCGGTTCCCAGTTTTTCCAATCCGACTGTCCGGTCTGGTCCGGTTTTGAAAACAGTTTCTGATGTGAGGCTCTATGAGCAATGTGTTATGATCAGTATATCCAAACTCAAAATACTAACAAATCCCCTAAAAATAACTTTGTTTTGCGATAAAACCCCCTTAACTTTTGCCTTCACCATTGGCATTTCGTCAAATAATTTAATAGAAAAATTCTTTAAATATTTTTAAAATCCCAAATTACCCTTATATTATTTTCATGAAACCATTTTCCTTTTAACCAACTCTTAACATGTTTTTTCTTTAACTTTCTTTAACAAGTTTCACCTTGAGAATGACCGCTTCATCAACACCTTGAGAATAATTCTGCTTTAGAAATTAGAATAATTATTTTCATCATTGTTGTCGGCCTATAGAACCTCAAATGGTTAATTTAGTAATTTAGTAATTCTACTTTTACCATCAATCCTAATGAGTTAAGGGGCAAAGTATTGGAGTTTAGAAGTTCAGAGGGATTTTGTTACAAAACAGTTTTGAGAACTAACCAACTAAGTGGGTCATTAGGGATGATTATTTCTGACCCGACCCCCAAACTTTTGGGCTTGGGCCTGTTTTTCGTGTTTTGGCCCAGTCTAGGCTCAGGTCCGCATCAGGTACAGAGATTTGTGGACTGGCCCTAAGCCCAACACTCTAGGCCCATATCAGGTTTGGCTTGGCTTATTTATATATAATATGTATACATATGTTTTATTTTACTAGTAATTAAGTATTGTAATAAATAACAATTGTTGTTGTTGTTGTTATTATTATTATTATTAAATTTTGTATTCCATTTCTATCATAAATAAAAATAGATTTTATTTTAACAATTATTTTAATTTAATATGATGAATATATAACATTAGAAATGCTCTCAAATGTTTTCGACAAAATTCTATACATTTTCATCTTTGGCTCTCTATCTTTTTTTAAATATATATTATTCAATTATGACATTTCTTTAAAAAGTTGGATCATTAACCCACCATCTAGATAAGAAAATATCTTGATTGTACAAGTGGTATAAGTGTGTAAGAAAAAAAAAAGGATGATTAATACCAATTTGATACAAATTGGTATCATTACACCAATTTGATAAAAATTCATAAGAAACTCTTAGCAGTGAAATTTACACCAACTTTATAGAAATTTATAACTTGGTTGTACAAGTGGTTGGCCCCTTTAGTTCTTTTATATGGTCTGATTAATATTATATAAGTTTGTAAGAAAAATAAAAAGAAAAGAACGAGAGAGGGAGCGGGAGAAAGACTGGGGGAGAACGATAGAGATTGAGGGAGAAGAAAATATTCATCGAGAGGAAGAATAAGGGAGAATAATGAGAGAGATTGAGAGAGAGGGGGGAAAGAAACAGAGGTTTTGATTTGGCTACAGACCAAAGCTAAGAGAGTGGGAGAGACAAATGGAGCAGCAGATCGAGACATGAATGCGAGAGTGAGAGATAATGGAGGGAGATCGAGGGATTGAGGAAGTGGGAGAGAAACTGAAAACCTATTTTCGGCATAGGCTTTTTGTTGTGTCCAACATGAATTAAGAGTCGCATGTTGGCAACAAACACATAAGCTTCTGATGACATGGTGGGGATTTTTATAATTCGAAATGTAGAGACAGTTGTTAGAGTTGTGTTGGTTTTGGGGTCATCCTACAACCTAATTTTAAATGTACAATTGGCTTTTACTATAATTTTCCCTTTAAACTATATATTTCATGTACATTATATAAATAATTTTTATTTATTATACTTAATTTTTGTTTGTCCATGATATCATTTGACCCAAACCACTAACCACCACCTAAAAAGAAAAATAGTTTGATTTCTAGGTATACATTAAATTTTGTATTATGCTTCCATCATTGATAAAATTATTTCATACGTATAATACTTATTTTTGTTCAATATAATGAATGCATAATATTAGATATGTACCCAATATTTTATTATATATATATATATTAACATTAGGTATGCACCCAAAATTTTTCCTATTTTTTATTTTTGTAATTCTTTGTATTTTCYATTTTTAAAAATTTTATTATTTGATTATGACATCATTTCATTTCTAAGTAGATTTTAAATTTGGCATTCCATTTTCATCATTAATAAAAATACTTCATACTTATTTATTTTAATTTTTTATTATTTAATTATAGCATTATTTATTAATTCATCTAACCCCAAAATGGTTGAATTGTTTGCCCACCATTGAAAGGAAATAAAATATTTTTGTTTTCAAAATATTTATTTTTATACTATTAAAATTAATATTATGGATTTAATTACAAGAATTTATTGATGAGAAAAATATATCTTAAATATAGGATTTAATGAGAGATAATAGGAAAACATTTTTATTTCTAATTGGTTTTAAATTTTATATTCTATTTCCATCATTAATAAAACCATTTTTCTTATTTATTATACTTACTATTGTTTAATATGTATCTTAAAAATGTTCCCAAATTTTGTTTAATTTCTATTTTTTTCATTTTATTTTTTAATCATGACAACATGGATTGACCCATTTGACCCAAAATGGTTTAATATCTTACCACCACCTAGATGAAAATACTATTTTTTCTAGGTAGATTTTAAAAGTATAAGATTTTATGTTTTTGAAATTATTAATTTATTAAGTATGGATTTAATTAATTGAACTTAATGATGAGAAGAAACAAAAATGACTTAAATATATGATTCAATGAACATGAATGCAAGTTAATAACTTAAATGTTGGATTTAATGAGAGGGAATCGATGCTTGAATATCTTAAAATTACCTATTTTCAACTCATTTAATATCAATAACTGATTATCCTATTTGCCCTCATTTTTTATCAATAAATTTAAATATAGAGGGATAAATTTTGTCCTCAAAAAATTTCAGAAATATTCTTGAGGCCATTCGTGCTTTTTAAAATAGTATAGATATAATATGATATTATGTATATAATATTTTATATTTTACAAATTATAACATATCTATATACACTTTATAATTTTATAAATATTAGATATAATTAATGTATTTAATGGTATAAGCCGAAAGCCTTGCCCAGGGCCATGATCACCCTCAAGTGGGTGGTGCTCTCTAAGTTAATGATTGGTCTTTTCTTTTTGGTAATAAGTTATGATTTATAATTAAGGGTGTTTTGTAGTGTGAATTGTTTTTCTTGTTGTCAGTTCCAAAAATAAATCAAAGCCATTTCGTTTTAAAACAAATTGTTTCTTAAAACAAAAACATAAAAATATGAACCAGTCCCGGTTTCATGAAATCATTCGGGTCTTTAACCAATTAAAATTTTTAAGTGTTTTATAAGTTTTAAACCCATGACCTCTTATTTTCATATATTGCCTAATTACCATTAGTCCACCTCTTAACTTGTATTAATTAATGACTTTTTATTATACATATTACTTTATTTAGGGTTGTTCACGGGTCAGGTTGGGTCGGTTTACTGGCATTTTTCCAACCGACCCGACCTTGTCGGTTTACCTAGAAATGAAACTGAAACCGACCTAGTACTAAGTAAAACCGACCTAGTCGGTTTGAATCGGTTTGGGTCGATTTTGTGAATGATTCTCTCGGTGTGAACGGTAAAGAATTCAAGTCTAACAAAGCAAAGGCTGGATGCCTGCAAATTAAAAATGATTTGATGGATTAAAACTAATATTTTATATATAAAAAATTTTATACATAATATGTATATTTCTGAAATAAAGTTGAAATATATATATATATATATATATAATATCTGAAATATATTATATATAAAACCAAAACCGAACTGAACTATCGCTTTATATTTTTTTGTAACCCGAAACCAACTGATACTGAAGAAAAACCGACCAACTCGGATTGGATCGGACCGGGTTGGTCGGTTTGGTCGGTTTAGGTATTGTTATGAATAGCCCTAAC